AGCATGTGACTTCACCTTCTTTGAAAAGAGCCCCACCCACTTACAACCAGTGTAAAGACCACTGACCAAAACAGGACGATCAGAAATCTGTAATTTAAAATAAGCAAAACTGAAATGTGTTTTCATGTCCTTTAACCTTAGAGCAGCTACACAATAAGTCCTACATGGAGGAGAGGAGTCACACCTGACTACACCCATTTAGGAGGGTGTGGTCTTCTGCTTCTTTACTTGTGACCACACTCTAAGCTGATGTAGTGCTGAGTTCTGAACTGTAAATGGCATTACAGGCAGGATTTTCACCCTGAGCCTGAAAAGTGAACCACCAATGCATCATGGAGTCTTTTGGGTTGTTTATTTTTCTCTTGCCTAACAGGTCAAACAGAGATATGGCGAGGTCATGTCAAGGTTCTTACTTTGCAGCAACAAAGTATCAATCAATATCATGAACAAACGCAGGCATCTAAGTAACACATCAGCAGTAAATGTCAGGTTTTGCTGTCAGTTCCTCAGAATCAAAGAGTGGAGGATACTTCCTAGACTTTGCACAGCTTTCAACAATCAGGCAGTGATCCATTGGACAAACAACAGATGCCTGTTTGTACACCAACAGTGGCCACAGTTCAGCAAATTGAAACGCAACATGTTTTGTTTAAGGGGAATGACGTCGACTTATTCCAAAGTGGAAAAACTCTATTATGCTTTCTGTTTAGGCATACAACCCACAGTTACAGTATTTGGAAAAGGCAGATCCTGCTACACTTGCCTGTTAGTTTCTGTTACGCTAGTTTTTATCGTGGATATATCGTGGGAGGCCCCCTCCGCAAGGTGAGGCCCCACGCAGTCTGCATGATCGGCCTGTAGGGAGGGACGACCCTGCTTAGGCATAGGCATGCTATAAACATCATGAGGGGTGTCTTTGCTAACAAAAACATACCTATTAAAGACTATAGTATGTACAATTTTAATGTAAAATCTTTCTTATTATTTTCTAAGGCAACAATCTTTAGTTACAAGACAAATGAGACAAACCCTTTTACGCGATAACGTAAGAAATGTTAAAATTGTACGTGTAGGGGTTTTACGTTAGCATTGTGCTAGACCTTTGAATCGCCAAACACATCTCGGATGGCATGGCAAAACTGTTGTTCTTAACATTATAATATGAAATCAAACTACAACCTTAACTGTAATCAGCAGCAGCCTATTCATATATTTTTTATTGTGAATAGAGAAAATAAAAACGTACTTATAAAGGTACAATTCTGCCAACCACAGCTAGCTTGTTCAGTTTAGTTTTTTTATTACAAGGGATTGATGTTGACAAAACAAACAAGAAGAAAACATTGACCAATCAAGGCTCTAAAGCGGGATTAAGAATGGTGACATCATCTTCCTACATAGCTAGCTAGCTAATTATTTAGCTCTAAATTTGAAAAAACTGTGACAGAAAAATGGCGAACAGCGTTGATGAGGTTGATGCACTTGTATGCGTTGTAATACGAATTAAAGAAATACGTTTTAACTATATATTTTTATATTTTGGGAAGAAAAACTATTTAGTTTTATTGTAACTGATTCTAACGGAATAGAAACTAAAATGCTTTGAAGGAAAGTGACGCAACAAGTTTTCCTGGTTTGTTGAAGGACATTTTGGAAAATGCATGTGTTCATTAACTGAGGTGACAGTCGGTAAGCTAAGTTGTTAAAGAAACCAAAAACATAAAATTAGATCACAAAAAAAACATCTGAAACACCCTTGAATGTTACATATTGACATATTGAGCAATTTTGGGTGGAATTTTCCTTTAACTGCAAGGAAAAAATATTAGTGAGAAAATGGATGGCAGGCTGCAGGGGTTATGAATAGGACACATGATGTTGCAAGTCTATATGTTACTTTATGTGCATTTCACCCTCTGATCCACTTCAAAGCCCTTCAGGAATCATATAATTTATGTTCCTCTGGAGTGTGCTGGTAGTTCTCCAAAGCCTCAAAGCAGCATGTGTTATTCTCTGGATCTGTATTTCTCACTCCTAGAAGATGATGAAGCATTCTGGGCATAAGACGTGCTCTCTGCATCTCTCTCTGTGGGGTTCCTACATTAAACCACATTAGTTTTCCCCCTGGAGTCACCTTAGCCAGGTAGCAGACGCCGCCCGCAGCTCCACAATGAGGTTCATTAGTCCTAATTGTTTGTTTTTTGTCTCCTTCCTTAAAGCCTGTCTGCTTTCTTAACAAGGTCAATCACTCACAGCTCCTCACATAACACGCCTGTCACTACAAACACACTTCAACATTTCTGTGTCCCAGCGCTCGGCTGTAACTTTTCACACCCACGCACCCTCTGCTCCCCAGATCCAGATAAAAACGCCATTGTTATCCAGCTGTGCTTTTCTCTCCTTGACTGGATTGCTGCCTTTAACATGGAAAAGAGAGGCTGATCATTAGGAGATGAGCAAACGCTGGCTGCAGAGAGAGCAGCTCACCCAGAATGAGTTGGGGGGGGGGGGGGGGGGGGGGGATGTTATACTCTGAATGCTAATGCAAGGCTGGAGAAAGGGCAAACAGGCCTATTGAAATGCAGAGTTCACATGTTTTCTTAGGGTAATATTGGGGCAATGTTGGAACGGCAAGCATTATGGGAGTGAAAGGTCAATTTGATGTTAGTCAGCAGGAACAGTGAGAATAGCTGACTATCAGGAATTGTTGCATTTTCTGCCTGAGTGATTGACTCCCTATGAATATGTATTTCATGGCCACACAAAGATGTTTGGGCTTGGGTACCTTGACAAGCCGGACAGTTCACCAAGCCTAGCATATGAATTAAAATAACAATAATATTCAGGTGCTTAAGTGCATCTGCTCCCCAGTCCAGTGCCATTTTTTTTTTTTACCAAGCTGGATGTTGGAATTCCTCTGCCAGAGAGAAAAGCCTGAGACATGTCACGTCGTTCAAAGCTCATTCACGTCTAATTACCATGGCACTGGACCATTTTCTTACCTTTTGTTGGCCCATTGAGGGGAGCGCCAGGCCCACGCTCTCCCATGCACACAGCTCCAGCATCCTCCTCCTCCTGCTCCTCAGAAACCCCTGGCTTCCCCTGCAGCAGCCGCAGTCACACAGAATGAATGGAGCCGCCTGAGGAATGTGGACACAAAAGGAGGAATGTCATTCTGCTGAGTGCTACCCCCCCAAACCAATGGACACACACACACACACACACACACACACACACACACACACACACACACACACACACACACACACACACACACACACACACACACACACACACACACACACACACACACACACACACACACACACACACACACACACACACACACACACACACACACACACAGCACCCCACAAGTCCAGGCATGTTTAAACGCAGGGGGTAAAAAGTCTTATTATGGCTTCTTTTTTTTTAATTAGGGCATTTACGTACAAGACATTTGCACAGTCCCATAATCGAGACTGAGTCAGAAAAGATTTCTAAAATGTTGCATTTCCTGTAGATTACGATTGACCAGAGGACACAGGAATGGATGAGTTCTAAGTTTGTTTTTACATTTCATTGATTGTCCTATCAGATAAGCTTCAATTACTTTTTTTCCAGTGTTATAAGAAGAAACAAGTAGCAATGAGGGCAAAGGTCATGGACAGAAAACAGCATGATGGCAGATTTAACAAACTGCTCCTGAGAACAGGGGAAAATAAAACACTGGTGCAAAAACACGAGAGAAATATGAATGAAGGAGACCAGAGATATTCTCAGACTAGGACATGGGGAACTTTTAAGTATCTGTTGAACAGATGGTCATTTGAAAAAGTAGCATTTGCTGACATTCAGGAATTATAAAGATGGCCAACTGTCAATGTTGCTGTAAACTCACCTAAAATGTCAGTTTCATTGGCTTATTTCAACAATGTGATCGCATGATTCCTTTTGATATAATTGCAGATCTGATGTAAGCTAGCTAGCTAATGTAGCTAACCTGGTCATTTGTAATATAGGCCTACTGAAAAAACACTTATAATTATTGAACAAACTAACTCTGCAATATTGACAGTTGGCCAACTTTGTAATCCATCAACAAGTGCTCCATTCCTAGCTGTGTGCATCAATGTGTGTATCACGTTTCCGTTGTGTTTGAGCTTTATGCAGCGCTTTAAGTAAATGCTGCTCATGTGTTATACATTTGATAATTCTTACAATGTCATTGTCATCTCAATCCAATTGTACAGCTCCCAGCAGACTGTTTACTGTGGTTTACAACACTGGCCGTACTATATGACAGGCAGCTGCATGTTGGTCTGACCTGTGTTTGTGTAAGGACCAGGCCTGTAATTTTGCCTCCATGGTTACTTTTAATATCAGCCAGCTTTTTAATCCCAGGCTTTTAAACAAACTAAGATGTATCGGATCATAAATGCTTAGCAGAAATAACACATTTGTAGGAAATATGTCTTCTGCTCTGATGTTATGTAAATCACTTTCATTTAATAAAAACATTTTGCGAGCAGTTTGTCGAATAAATAATGGCTTGTTGTTGAATTTCTCATCACGGACAACCTTCAATTACATAATTAAGTGGTTTTCAACCCTCTAATGATCCTTGGGGTACTTCCAAAGGGGGGCTAGGGAAAACAGTTTATCACCACTCATTATTATCACTTATTTAACATTAGGACAGACCTTCAGTTCAAAGGATTTTTATCTCTGTGGTTATCTCCTGTCTGACAGTAAAAACAGATAAGAATGCCCTCTCAAACACAGGTCAGATGGGGGTCTGCAGTGAAAGAGATTTGTGATTTTGAGGACTTTTGGGTATCTGGTGTTTCCTTTCCTTATGTTATGTGGCCCAACAATAAGTCTTCATGCCACAGAGTAGCTCCACCCTCAGCTCCAGTCCTGCTTTTTCAAGACTGGTTTCCACCAGTCTAGACATTATAGAAAGGGGAAAAGAGAGAGAGGGGTCCAGAGGATTTGAAGTCCCTGCTTCATGCTCCACCCCTGGTGTTCCTGTTTTCCAGGTCTTTGTCCCCGGAACTTGCACTCTCTCCTGGGTGTCCACTAGGGTTTTCTGCTCGCATCTGGATCCCAGTACGACTAGCCTACAGTCCAGTGTCCTACAGAAACCACGGCCTCTCCTCAAGTTTGGAAAGAAAGCAAGAAAAGAAAGGAAGAAAGAGGAAAAAGTCACCTTCTCGGCTACTTTTCCACCGTCTCTTCTCTCCCCTGGTTTATACGTCCGTCGCGGCTTTGAAGCAACAGTGTGATTCTGAGATTCTCGCCTCCAGTTAAAAACTTTTTTACATGTTTGAAAACTATCATTTCATCGCCTTTTTGTGTTTTTTTCGATTGAGTCTGGAACTCGACATGTATCGCATATTTCCGTGCTGTTAAACGAACGACGTTTGAGCAGTTTTCACGGTTATTTTCGGAGTTGTTCTCCCTGAAGTTGTGTAAGCGGTGGCCTGAGCTGTGAATGAAGTATCTGTTGAAGAAATCAGCGCGTCTCCATGAGGAAACTCAGCGTGGGAGTCGCTGAAACTCTGTGCTAGTTATACACACCTGAGCGACTATACTTTTTTATTTTTCACTTTTTGTGCTGTTGTTTTTAAGTGACACACCATGAAGCCGCTGTTGGTGTTGTGTGTAGTTTGCACGCTGGTTGTGTTGTGTGTGTCGATGACTGCGGAGCAAAAGTTGAAAAACTGCAACGACGTCCGCGCGGCGTACAGCTCCAAGGGCTTCAACGTCAACGATGTTCCCAACAAAGGAGTCAACGGTGAGTTTTATTTTATTTTAACAAGTTTAGCCCTGTTATTAACCTGAAAAACTGTAGTCTAGAAAGTAGTGTATCCCAAAGTGGGGGGCGAGGACCCCCCCATGGGTCCTACAGAGGTTCCCCGGTGGTCCTTAGGCAAAGGATAACTTTTAGGCTAGCAGCATTAGCATAATGTGGCACTGTAACGGTCAGGTTTTTGATTTAGCATTGTGAGCTTCTCAATTACAGACAACACTGTTAACTTGTCAAAAGTCATAACCAGTGTTGCAAGAAGTTCCTAACTACAAGTACAAATACTATGATTTTAAAGTACTCCACTACAAGTAAAAGTCCTGATTTCAAAATAGTACTTAAGTAAAAGTAGAAAAGCATTAGCTTAAAAATACTCTGAAAGTACAAAAAGTAAAAGTACTCATTCTGCACAATTACCTATTTCAGAATAATATAAAAATACAGAGCCTATTTTACATAACCACAGACTTATCAAAAGTAAAAGTACTGTTGATATTGGATATTTTCACAGTATTATATCGTTAGGTTGATTGTATCCTGTTTTTATTCATGTAAGAGCATTTTTATATGGTAGTTTGTAAGTATGGACCACATTTAGATACCAGTGTTGATTACAGTTTGAGTACAGTACTGCAATATACCATATCAGAATATAATGTGTTTTTGCTCATAACTCACTTAAAGGTTTTCCAGAGGCTTTTCATAAATACCAAATCTAAAATGTAATAACGTTTTGTCATTGACATGACAAATAAACTATGTCCCTACAACAAACAGTTAAACTGTCACTTTTAAACATGGACATTTTGTGCTTCTTTCAAAGTCTATGAAAACATGGTTCATCATGCATACATATTTTTTTCAACTGTTAAAAATTACAGTGCATTGTTAAGTTTGGGCGAAAGAAGCAGTGAAACATTTGGGCATGCATTCCTCAGTCTAAAAAGCCCCTCAAAGCTCCAGTGTTTAAATATAGTCCTCGTTTAGGAAATACTTGTAGGTGATTCATAACAATAAAGAGGTATAATAAACACACAGGCCGTGCTCCCAACTGAAAGAAGCCAGGCCTGTGTTTATTTTCAGGCTTCCTTAGTAGAGACTCTATGGTTGTGAAGTGCAGGCAGCCTGCCGTGATTTAGTAAACATTCCTGTGCATTGTGAACAAGGCTTTTGGATTTTATTCCTCTCTGCGCTTCTCAGATTTTTGTGGTTTTAAACATTTTCTGTGTAGGCACATGTTGTACTCCTACATCTGCAACCAGTCTAGATTGCAGGACAGGATGTTATGTAGCCACGAAGAGCGCATGGTAATAAATAGGAACCGCTATATTTATAGTCCGGCAGAGGTGAGAAGGCAAATCAATTTAACTAATCACAAGTTAAACCCAAGTGATGGAAACTTACATAGGGGGGCTTTTACACTGAAGGCTTGAGGGGGGAAGGGGGTTGGGGTTTGAAATTCCACTGTGCCTTGCATACTTTAAATCCCTCCCTTCTCTCATTTCCCTTTCATTTATATGGTGGTTAAAATGAATATGCGCAGACATATTCAAACCCCTAAATTCAGTCCAGTTTGGTTGCCAGTTTTGCAGTGGCTTCAGCATGACTTTCTTGTTCAAAACTACAGAAGTAGGTGACCCGGACATGGCCCCTGTCATGTTGGTGGCTTGTATTCTTTCTTTTTTAAAGGCATATTTCCCTAATTGGAATGAATAATTAGTCATTTCCAAACCTTCTCACCTTAAACCTTTCAGATGTTTAAGATGTTTTCACAGCTGACAAGGGTGTCCAACTTGTAAGTGTCCTCTTAATTGTACTGATGTCTTTTATTAGTTAACTCTGCATTGAAAGAGTATGTTCAGCCTGTCTTTTACACATCCCAAACATACAGGACAATTAAGTCCAATCATTAGAATTTGAGTTCATTAGAATTTGAGTCGGACATAACTGTCAAAGAAGCTGAGGACTTATCTTTTCCTGCATTTCACACACGTTTATAGGTCCTTTTGTTTTCTGCCTGTATGTCTTTGTGATGCTAAATATCATTGAGAGTACCCCAACATGTCTGCGTTAGTCTGACTTAATTGTCTTGCATCTCTGGGTTTTGAAAGAAGGATCTGAATGAAGGCCGTTTTATTGTGCAGGTTTGTATGCTATACACACGTGCCTTTTCCTTACAATAGGCTCCCGGTGTATGTCTGGGCCTCGGGCAGTGCCGACCTCAATGAGCAGCTCTTTGTCATTGAAAGAGACTGAGATAATTGATCCATAGAAAGCAACAAGGTCTACTGTCATTAAAGAGAGTTGGGGGTCTGCAGAAAGCAAAAAAAACATACGGAAGCTCTTCAAATGTTTCATGTTGCTGGGAAGGAATGCCTCCAGATTTGTCAGAGAATCAGTTCTACATTTTGTAATGCATGAACTCCAAACATGAGTTCTCTTCTTATCATAACGGAATCTGTACTCTAATTGAACTGGATGTGAGGTTACAGAAGGGTTAGACCCTTAATTTCCTGCATACTTAAACCACAATTTTAGTTTGAAAAGTTAATAACCGAAGTCGCAGATCATTGGAAAAGGCAGTTTCACTTCCAACATCTGCAGAATTTCAAATACTCAGTATAAGATGCAGTAAAATAACTTTGATCCACATAAGACTGCTGGATCAGAATATTTCCCTGAAATAATGGGCCCCTGTGATACAATCCAACCATAACTGTGCAGACTTTTGGAGCAGACGCACTTTGAAAATTATACAGTATCTCTGCAAGTTGTCACAGAAGGAGTTTTTAACATGTTTACCTCCTTTGATACACGCATCATAAATCAGGTTGGTGGAATAATATGAGTCTTATTGGAAACACAGGATTCAATCTTGTGTTTCATAACCACAGACATCTTGTATTATTGTTGGCAGCGCAGAGATAAGAATGTTTGTTACCATTTAAATTACCAACGGGCTCAGCCAAAGCCAGACTTTAGATTCGGAAAAGATGTTTTAATGCAGTTAAACTAAAATGGAAACCCTGATTACTTTGGCATAGACAGAACTAAGTCATACAGAGGAAGAGCAGTTGAAAATTCCTCGTTGATCCCATGGAATCAATCTCTTACCGCTCACGTGGCAGCAGTTCAAGACCTCATTTCAAACTTTTCTTGTCTCGGAGGATGATTTGTTGAGGGCCTGTGGTTGAATACCTCACTTAAATGGGAAATAAATGAAGATCTAATGATGACAGATAAATAATGATAGTAATCGGATAGAATGTAAATGGTGGTTTAACTCACTGAACCTATCTGCTAATGGAGAGTTGCAATCCTAAACCCCATAAATAAGTTGGCATTTCAGCATTTCCTGGTAGTCTTGACTACTACTTTTTTAATGTGTTCAGATGCCTGTAATAAGGTCTGTGTTTATTACAAGCTTTTTGAGATTTTCACGTTTTGTTCTAGAACTTAAATACGTGAGAAAATACGACACTTATGAATGTCTGAAGCTTTTTCGAGTCTAAAAAATGGATTGTTAACTAGTAACACGAAACACCAGTCCAAATGTACCTTAGCGGTGGTGATGTAAAGCCATGCAACTGGGATGTAGTATGTTTTATAGCCTAAGCTTATATAGCATATTCACTTCTGGTCATGGCATTTATGCTACAACTTCTATACAAATATATCAATATGTGGAGATTATCCTGCTGAACAAAACAAGGCTTATAAACGTGTATTTGTCGTAGAGAATATTTTCTGTAATATTCCAAAATCCAATTGAAAAATCCCTTTTGACTTCTGCTGAGAGACCCCTTGCTGTGCTTACTTTAGGGTCAGCCTACAAAAATAGGTCATCACTGCACCCACTGTAGTGTTTATTTTTTCTTAACAGTTATATTTGATACCGTGATAAATGTTCAAAGGTATCCGCTAAGTAGGGTTACACAGTTGCAACATGGACTCTTCAGGCTCACAGCCGTTAACACTGACCAGATTGGTATCTGCCATGTCAAAGGCTACTACATCGCAGGGCTGGACACTGCGTACTGCTCTTCAAGGGAAATCTGTTTTGGTTTACTCTGGCAGTGGGGCTTGATGTCATGCTTCAGGTATGGAACAATGGCAGAGATCAAAGAGAAGAGGGTCGTTTTTCCCTCCCTTCAGCACGAGGAGCGTCCCCGGCTCATAATCAGTTCAGTGCATTATGACTGAAACTCAAAGCGTGCATGACCTCAGTGCGTTGGCCTCCCGGTAAGCTTGAGACATTCTGCAGCCTCTCATTTTGAGAACTCCTTCCCCCATAGCCGGTGGCTGCAAGCCCTGCATCTTCACGGTTCGGGAAATAACAGGTTGTGTTATTGCAATGACATTCAGCAGATAAGATAAGAGCAGGGAACTAGGGCACACACACTCGTCTGCAGGAGCTTTTATAGCTCAAAGACCAATATTTGAGCGGCTCTGCTCCGTTCAACTGAAACCTGGTATTTTAACACCTGTAATAATTAACTAATAAACCCGCAGCCAAGTGTCTTACTCACCTCGCAAGGTCAATCCCATAAAACTCAAACTGCCCTCTTTGTTTTATGTGAAACACTTTGCGAGTCTTATCATTAAGAACCACTTCGGTGCTGTTCTCAGCAACGGCATTTAATTTGCCAGTCATTTTAGAAAGTGGTAGTTATAAAATGACAGTCTCTGTAATAGTTGTAGCTTGGCCAAATGGAAAATTCTCACAAAAAGACCCAAAGCAGCTAACTGAAACAGAAAGGTGAGGTTTCATGATAAGGGCATTGTTCATCCTGATATCTGTTTTAGAAACATGCAGCTTCTTCCTGTTCCTGCAGCCAGGGAGGGTCAGGAGTCCAAAACAGATAAAGTAGTTTATGTTGTAGCAGATATAGAATCAAACGGTAAAGTGATGAAGAGTATCCAATGGTGGCTTTTAAAATGTGCAAATTGGTTTGTTGTGTGTTGAGATGTGGATCTGTTTTTGTACA